CTGTGTGCCTCTCTACTACGCGTGCAAGGGCGGGGGAAAGGACGCTGAAAACAATTTGTTCGTAACCGAAGCGAAGCTGTAGGGTAAAATGGCATCACTGCTGCCATTCCGCGGAGAGGACTGGGTGAGGACATCCTCTAATGCCTTCAAGTCATTGCTCTGGCGAGTTTCTGCCCCTCCGTGCAGCTTGGATAACAGCAGCGTATCAAATAACAGCCATCTGTTACGTGAATTAAATGTATTTAGTAATCAGAAAAGCAGTTTATCATCTCTCTGGCTTCTTTCAGGATTACAAACCCTGGGTATTATTATTAAAATAACTAAATATAAGCATGTACTGGAAGAAAGCTGCAGGGAGAACAATAGGAGGCTTGTATGTGATTAGTGATGCAAAAGCACCAACAAAATAAAAACAGGAGCACTAACAAAATCACTCATTCAGCTCTCATCAAACATTCCCAACAGCGGGCAGACAAGCTCACAGTGTCAGAAACATTCAGAAACAAAAATCAGAGTACGCACAGTTTCACACTTGCGGCTACGTAACGAATGGTGGGCACAACATCCACGTATCACAGCCTACCAGCCATTTTAATTTCATTTTCAATTCCACGCCAATGAATATCCTTAATTCTGCAAGCCAGATGCAAGGATACAGGGCGTCATTTTGGATGCCCCGATAGATGGCAATGTCCTGGTGAACGCACACGGGAGTGGCTATGATCAACTTGGGACCAGGCAAGGGAAGAGCACAAGTTTTGTCTTATTTTTATATCTTTGAAATATGAGGGAAGGAGTAGAGGGATAAGCATAACCAGGAATTAAGGTCAAGGTTTGAAGGAAAACCTAGGCTGTAAGCTATGCAATTACACCATCTCAACGTTTATCAGAATTCATCCATTTGGTCTCTAAAACTCCTTCTAAGCAATCTGTACCCTCCAAATTATTAAGAGTCAGAATTTCCATGTTTTCACCACCCTTTTTGCTAGCAAGTAGGAAGTAATTATGCTAAAATAAGACATCCCAAAATTCACTCTGTTGGAACACATCTTAAGAGCATGTCTGAGAGAATCCCACCTTTCCTTATGGAAACTGGGTAACATCCCAAAACAAACCAGGACTGGATGTAACAACAAAGTGGATCTGGGTATGGAGGACAAGGATTTTGTGCTACCTGACACCACGTGAGCCAGCACCACTGACACCAGCCGGTGCGGAGGGAGGAGAATGGCAGGATGCAAAAGGCTTCCTGGAGGGTAATACAGCCACACCTACAGAGACCACACTTGCCTAAAAAGGTACTTCTACGCCGGGATAAGTAGGTTTTTGCATGGATTAAGACAGCACTTTATTTGTTTATGCACTTTTGACACGGATCAAGGAACGGACAGCCAGGGCAGTACATCTAGTTCTTCTCCAGTTCCGTTATGCCAAAAGACACCATAGGGGAGTCACTAGACTTCAACATCTGCTTCTCAGCACATCTTTGTCTCTTAGTTGTACCATAGCATATTATTAGATACTATCACTCCACCAAAGAGTTGCAATGACAGGAATGTATTAGCATGCCCTGAATTCAACAGCAGCCACAATAAATTGAGCTTTGATTCCGGACTTCTACTTTTCAATTGAACTATAAAGCTGGCCAGAGAAAATTAGAACGAATGCAAATTTCTTTTTACCTACTTTAAAGATCAAAGAAAGTGCAAATTCACTTTTGCTGAAGAAATACCTGTTCTTTCAGAGCTAGAAGTCACAAAACACACAGCGTGAGATTTCTGCCCAGACAATGCAATTGCTGCAGATTGAGCACTACTATACACAAGGCGAAGCAGAAGTGGAGGTACGGTGAGAGACATTTCTTCTTCAAAGGGATCATTTCATGTCACGATTTCAAATCCAAGTTGCATCAGGTTACTTCATACTTAGACCTGCTCTGTCTCCCTGCCATCCCTTCCCCTTCAGAGCCCAACACTCTGCTTGATAGCCAGCATCACCACCATGGTACAAAAACAACAGCTTCCAGATTTCCCTGGCATTTTCAAAATAGAAACAAAAATGTTAATTCACTCTGTTACCCTAAAGCAAAAAGGGAAAAATTCAGGAACTAGAAGGGAGAGCACAGTACCACATGCAAGAAGTGGAACAAAAGGAGAAATATTGCTATAGAATGAGAAAAGTCAGAATAAAAATAGAAAGGAAAATAATTTTCAGAGGTTTCCCAGGGTTAACTGCAGTTGCTTTTAAAAAAAAAAAAAAAAAAAAAAAAAAAAAAAAAAAAACCCAGCAGGGAAAATAAGCAGAAAACCCCAGGAAGACTTCAGTAGAGGAAAAGAGTTTGCACATACAGCTTAAGATTTTCTTCTCCGTGGTGACTTGGTTCAGCCTATCAACACTCAATCTCATCTACGTCTCCACAGCTTAAATTCAGGACCTTTGTGTTTGAAAATTTTAATGCAAGATAACTACCCTAACCCATTATGAAAAAGAAAAAAACAATCATTGGCCTAAAATTGATGGCTGTTACAGGATTACAGTCGTAGCCAAATAACAGCATTAGAAAACAGAACAGTTGCAACTAGATACATATTTTAATAGCACACATTACATAGCTCTCTTGATGCATCAGTGTTAACTATGTTGATCAATATCAGAAAATTGTTTTCCTCCTTCTCATTCAGACAAAAACATCAGTAACAGCAGAGAACTCTGAAGTATCTGATGCCCAAACACGATTGTACACATAACTTTAGCATTAATGTGAAAACAGAAAAATGTACATAGTACAACAAGAGTATCAGATATTAAAAAAACAAAATTCATAAGGGACCATACAAGTGCTAGTGAAAAGTTCACAGGTAGCAGGATTTGTGAAGGGATATATGAGCAACTAAGTAACTAGACTGCTAGGAGACACAGCAGGCAAAACTGGTGGTAACGGGTGCAAAAAGGAAAGCTAGATATATTTTAAAAATATCTGATCACTATATTTGAAAAAGACAAGATAATTAAGTACTTTCAAGCCAATTAGTAACTAATAGGAATGTTATACAGCATCTGCTAGGCATAACATTTCAAGTTGGCACATCATATTAATTTGAGCCCAGTCCCGAAATAATCATTTAACAAGTTTTCCAAACCTGTGACCTTCAATTTTAATAAACTGGAAAACTACTAAAATTGCAGAAGACTGAGAATAAGAATATTATGCCAATATTCAAAAATAGCATACATTTCCTATTTATAGGCCTTGGTAACTCGATGGTGACCTTCGCTTGGAAAGGATGGTTCTGCTACATCGGACCAAAGGCCCACTCATCCCCGTGTCCCATCTCTGACGACGGCCAGTAACCGACACACAGGGAAGCAGAAAATCAAAGCAAACACCAACACTTCTTGTGGCATATTCCACTAACAAAACCAGACACTTACAAAAGAGATGAAGGTGACTCAAAGGCTAATTTCATAATTATACCTCAATAAGGCCGTTTATAAATCTACTCGGCACACACTTGGAGGTACAAGAGGGACTCCACTACGAAAACTTTCCACCTGGATGAATAAATAGGTGAAGTGAAAACAGCAAATGATTCTCCATCAGGAGAAAGCCTAGGTAAATATTTGCATAGAAAAAGGTGTCTGGAGGGACTTTTCATTGTCAAGTCCTGAAATCTGTGAAATCTTTGATCCACTCTTCCAACCCCACAGGCATACATTCTTCTTCTGAATGTCCTAATCTTCAGCAGTGGGGAGGAGGACAGGAAGGAAGGAAAAAAAAAAAAAACACCACCATACTTGAACTATCAGATCTTCAGGCTTTTAACCAGAATCTCCCCAGATCTGAGGCTCTGAGAAGTTCTCCCTGCCAAGGCAGATGACTGGGACTGCAATTTGACAGGACCTGCGCCAAGAGCTAGGAGCCGAGAAGCGTGACCAAAGGAAAAAAAAATCACCCAAGAGCCCCAAAGGGGGACATGTGCAACACCATGAGAACAAGAAAGCTGCAGTTTGAGTCCAGCGCCCGAATTACAAGCCCAGTTTCTTTCAAAACAGGAGTCTGTTTACAGCGGGACAGCCACAGTGATTTCGGACCCCGGTCCCTGCCTCGCTGCTCTTGTGGCAGCTGCTGAGCCACCATGGCCCAGCGCCCATGCCTGGAAGATGAGCCCCACGCCAATTAAAGGGTCGCCTTTGGGGCAGGATGAAGCTAGGATGTACAGTGAGACATTTAGGTCTGCTTAAAACTGAAAGCAGAAAGCTGGAGATGGCTACAAACTCATACACACGCAATACCCTGAGAAAAGCTAACTATCTTCAAGCATCTACCCAAAAGCTCTTCAAACTCATGGACACTTGTACCATCACCGTACAATCTTCAAAAGAAAGTGCTACCAAAGTCAAGCGTCTTACAGCAAAGCCATCTTCCATACAGTTGCCGGTTGTTTTTTAGACTGAGCGTGCTCTGCAAGATAGGATAGGTAGGAGTACATAACACTATATGATGACTCCCTTTAGCCTTGCATCGCCTTCAGCAACACCCCAGGATATCAAAAAAGCAGATACTAAAGGCACTAAAAGACAATGACAAGACAAAAAGCTTTGTGTCTTCCATTTTGCCTAACCCTGAGGCTGGCACGGATTCTTTTTTAAGGAGTTTCTGGGTGGTTTCCTCAGCAAGCCTACTCTTTCCAGCTGAGCGCTGCCTTTCAGGCTCCTCAC